ACATTAGAAATATCTGAATTCAAAATCAGCTTGTCGACATTAATAATGGAACTTTCAGGCCAAACATCAAAAATGTAATTGATGAAATTTGAACCAATAAAACCGCAACCACCAGTGATTAGTACATTGCCTGGTTTATAATTTACAGGTTCCATTTTTCTGAAAATTACTGGATAAATATTAGAAAAAACCGACTACATATTTAATGAAAGTGTTGTGCAATTGCGTTGAAAGTAAATGACTCATTACTTATCAAATAAATATTCATAAGTCAAACACTAACGCTACTTTATCAATCGCTTTTTGACTGAGAAAACCATTACCAGCAAAGGAATAATTATGCCGAAACTCAACTAAACTGGTACAGTTATTGATAGCAGTTACCGTTAAAGAACGCTTGTAAAGGAAAGAAAGACACCGTAGAAGTTGCAAAATTTTATGGTAGACGATAATTTGCACAACGAAACATTACTGAAATATTTGAATTTTTTTACCATTTTTGAGTGAATTTTAACCTTGTAATATTAATTGATCACAGTACAATGCCCTATAAATCGCCCTATAATCGCATTATAAATCGCCTTATAAATCGTATTATAAATCGCCCTATAAATCGCATTGCACGGTCTCTTATGCCCCATTTCATCCGGATATTTAGCTTTGCCATTTCGGTATTTTTTTTCTTCTTTGTTCTCACTCCACATTCAGTTCCACTAATTTGCAAATGATGGATAGGAGTATTGATTGGTCTCGAGACGCTTTAAAACATTTATTTTATTTGGAAATTAATGCACAGCTACCTTTATAGTACATGCAACTTGCTTTAATGGGACCTACCAAAAACATTTTCATGTCTACCGCCATTAACAACATTTCTTTTCTAAACTGAGAAGACAAATATATCAGACTTCAAGGTGTAGCGAGTCGAATTTATGCTTGAAACGTGAGGCACCTTACAGACACACATTTCTTAGTCTTATTGCAGCCTCTCTTTTTGGTGATGGATGTATCCCGTAACCCAGTCTAAATTACTTTTGTGGTTACTTATTCTCAGCATATTGTCCAACTGATTTTCAGCAGTCTTCATCATTTCTGCTCTTCTCATTCCGCTATTTTCTCCTATGCAAGTTTAAAATAATGTTTTAAATTTTGTAAAATTGAAAAAAGTATGTTATTACAAGTGTTCTACAAGAATATGAAGTTAGATTTTCGAGTGTTGGAAAATTTATTGAGGAATTCAGTAAATGCATCGCCCCTATTATAAAGCAAAGAGAACAATGGAGACAGATGTAGGAATACACACATGCGGGACACACATATGCGGGAATACGCGCATATGCGCGAATACACACACGTGGAAATACACAGATGCGGGAATTATGCACACGTACCTGAATTATACACACATGCGGGAAGCATTCATTAGGGACATCACACACATACTGGACTTAGCACACAAAAGGAACATCACACACATGTAAAACTAGCACACACAAAAGAGGCATCCATACACATGTGGGGATAGGAACACATAGGATCAACAGAAATGCGGAACTATGCAGACCACACTTACGCTCGTGTGCTCTATCACATTGTCATTTCAGAGTGAATCTCTCGCATGCCGTGAAGAATTTTTTTTCACAAAAAATATTACTTCTTAATGATATTTTACGGCATACGCAAGTTTCCTCCCATTGCTTGAATTCATGAGTATAAGCAAACAAAGCGGTCAATTCAGAAAAATTCATGACAGAATTATTTGACTGAAAACTCAAAAGTAGCTAACAACTTGCTTAAAACCTAATATGGCTAAAATTAGCTGAATCCTAAATATAACTTCTGTTTTAAAATTGTTTGGTAGCTAAAATATCCAAAATTCTTACACAACATCGATTTATTCCCTCAAGTTGCTTGCATTGAAAAAATCTATATATTTCAGTTTAATAAACGAGTGTCCAATATTTGTAATATTTCCATAGTTGCGCTCGAGTTTTCCATTCATTTCGATTGTTGTTCTTTTTCAATTTGGTCATTTTTGAAGCAGCTCGTATCAGCAGTGAATCTTCAAAATTTGCACGGTTTGTCAGTGTGATAATGCTGGACTGGATACATGCGAGAGTTCAAGGTATAGTAGTATTAAATTCTAATTTTAATCCATTTTTGTCACAGAAATATCACACTGACAAACCGTACAATTTAATACTATACTTTGAACTATCGCATGTATCTAGTCCAGCATTGTGTGTGTAATTCGCCATGCGTGTATAGCTGTTGAAATGTGCGTTGTTCGGCATTACCAGTCGCGCTGTGTGTGTCTTTCGCTGTCTGCTCTCTCATATAGAACAAGATGAATCCAGGAATATCAGAAACCCACAGAAGCACTCTTTTTGATACAATTTACGACGACAACATCAAAAATTGTTCCGCTATTGAAAAGGTTCCGTCATATCTGGAAAAAAAAAATCACACTTTGATACGTTGATTATCGCACACGTTGAATTTGTTCATCCCTTATCATATCTATATGGAAGAAAAAGATCACACCCTCACTCAGGAGTTATTCTTGCACTATTTTCGTTAATTACTATTCGGAAATCAATGTATCATAATTGTGCAATGTACCGAATGTTTTGAGAAACTTGCGATCACTTTTTGTACCAATGACTCCATGAGAAAAATACAGAAATACTTAAATTAGTTAGGACATCACTAAAATACTTATTATATTGTGGAACACATTTTTTTCCGAAAATTTGATTTCATATTTGTTCTGAAATTTACCATGAAATATACAAGAAAGACCATATTTGTTCTGAAATTTACCATGAAATATACAAGAAAGACAATTTTATTAATCTATATATATTTATATGACTTCAAACAGTTTAATGAAGTACTTTCCTCCACAAATGATTTGGCCAGTATAAAACAGTACCTTTAATTAGAAGAAAACTACCGCAAGCACTAATAAGATGCTTGTACAGTTTCGAAAGAGTTTCGAGGATTCTATTTTGGAAGGATTTCAATCCTTGTAGTGCAAGGTATATATTTAGCAAGTCAGCTGTTGCTACTGGTAAATTCTAGAACAAAACCTTCTTTAGTAATTATTCTTCTGCATGCGATAAGAAGCATCGAGAGGTGACAATTCTGGAATTATATTCTAAAAAACAAAACTGTACAACTGTCATAAATTAAATGTTCAAATAATGACTTGCAGCATCAGATACAGAATTATATAATGTTGTATCGTTTTCATTAAAAACTAAAAAGAACATGTTTGTCAAAAAATTATTAGATTTTTGATTACTTATGAGTAATCAAAAATCTAATAATTTTTTGACAAACATTTTTTCTTCAACAGTTATAAGCATAAAATTTTGCACATTCCAAAACCTGTGATCACATATATGCTTATTTACTAAAACTTTTGTTAAAAAGTATTTTCTCGAATCAGTATATATTATACATATATATATACTGATTCTAGTAAAGTTACAAACTATATGCACTTATTATACAAAATTTACAAGCCAAATTATTCTAACTACGTTAATAACTCTTATGATCTTTATCTATTAGATGCGATTCTGCTGCTCGAAACTACGTCCTAATACGCTTCTTACGTTCTGCCTAGAATCAAGACAGCATGATGAAAAAATGGTCTAATTTTAAATAAAATGGGATGTAAGTCTCTAATTTTATCAGTTTCGCGCAAAAAGCTATATTCGATGGAGCACTTTTTTTTCTATGCTTCTTTTTCCTCTACTTTTCTGTGCTTGTTACAAATAAATAAGATGCGGGATTATTTCTCGTTTAATAAATTCGGAATGATCAAAACCAAGCAGTAAAGCAAGTTCATTTCCCCAACTACAAACGTCAGACGCTCTTGGAAATTCGTAAACTAAAGATATATTGTTTATTCACTAAAACTTTTGTTAAAAACATTGCAGAGCGAGTTCCAAACGTCTTACTTCCAGAACCGCAACATAGTTTACTTTCTGCTGCGATACAATGAGATTCTTATAGAATTCAGATCTTTATCTTCATCCAATTAGCATCAATGTAACGTGTTAACTTCACTTCCACCAACTGCACTCTTTAGTAAGCTCTGATCATTACCACCAGTTGCACTCATTAATACTTCTAGATTTAAATTTGTTTAACCTAGATTTCGTGACAGATACCTCATGGGCATCACAATGAGCGACCTAAAACACCTCTTCCAATTCCGCTTCTCCTTTTAACTGTGAATGAGCACCAATTGATTTGTCCATTTCATCAGCTACCACTCATATATGTGAACGAGAGATGGA